ATAAGGTTGAGGCATTGAACACCAATGATTGAAGACCAGATAAGTTATGGGATAACATCAGGGTATCATCCATGAAGAAAGCAAAAGGCCACTACAAAACAGAGGACAAAGAAAAAATTGACATAGATGTCAAAAGAGATTCTAAAAACTGCACTCAAATCCAATAGGGCAATAATATTCATATCTGAATGAGAAGAAAGGGGTCCAGTGGCATGGGGGACATGGCTGACCTCAAGGGAACTGGTTTTGCATTGTTAATGTTGTTGACAGGGACAGTTCCTCTTTGTGGAGTTGGTAAATGTCAGATACAGTCATTCCCACACAGTCCTTGCTATTTTTACACATTTCAAAAACAGATTTGAGGCATTTGATGTAATGATCAGAAACCAGTAGAACTGTGGGTTGACACTGTGATTGTTTACAATGGGTTCAAGTATATTAGGAATGGTGAGGATGGCACAAGTTAGGGCAGGATTCAAATCTGTTCATAGAGCAACTATGAGTTACAGTGAACTTGTTGTTGTTAGGTGCCAGTGAGTTGAGTATGACTCAAAGTGACCCTATAAACAACAGATCTGAACCCTGTCCTATCCTGTGCCATCTTCACATTCTTTGACACACTCGAGCCCATTGCAGCAGTCACTGTGTCAATCCATCTGGTTGAGGCGCTTCCTCTCTTTCGTCCGCTCTCCACCTTTGCAGGCATGGTGTCCCTCTCCAAGAAAGAGCCTCTCCTAACAACATGCCAAAAGATAAAGCTTTATCGTCTTTGCCTCCAAGGAGCACTGTGGCTGCACTTTCTTCAAAACATATTTGTTCTTGTGGTAGTTCAAGGGATAATCAGTACTGTTCTCTAACACCAGAGCTCAAAAGCATCAATTCTTCTTCCATCAATTCTGCCATCTGTATTCAATGTCCAGCTCTCTGCAGCATAACAAGTGATTGCAAAGACCATGGCCTTACTTGGGCAAACCTTAGTTCTCAGAGTGACATCATCGCTCCTCAATAATTTTGCAAGTTCTCTGACTGCAGACTTTCCCCGTGCATTCCATCTCCTGATCTCCTCATTGTTGTAGCCAAGGGTGTTAACTGTGAGTCCAAGTAAGAGAAAATTGTTAACAATTTCAATCTTTTCTCCAACTATTGTGATGTTGCCATTACCAAAACAACATTTAAAAAGAAGACACAAATCATGCTATAACCCCAGAACTCATCCTTTAATTTGTCATATTGTGTTGGATTGTGTGTACGCTAATGTCAAGAAAACAAAAATTCCTATTACTGGACCAATAGGCAACTCCTAGTATTCTTTACTCTCGGCCAGGGTCCATCTGATATCAGCAATGATATCCCTGGTGCCACAACCTCTTCTAAATCCTGATTGAACTTCTGGCTGTTTCCTATCTATGTACTGTTCCAACCATTTTTTAATGATCTCCAGCAGTATTTTGTTTGCATGTGATAGTAATGATATTGTTCGATAATTTCCACATTCTCTTGGATCACCTTTCCTGGGAATGGAAACAAATATGAATCTCTTCAAGTAACTTGGCCAGATAGATGTCTTCCAAATGTTCTGGCACAAAGTGGTGAGTGCATCCATGGCTGTATCTGTTAGATGAAGCATGCCAGTTGATATCTCATTGATTCCTGGGGCCTTATATTTTGCCAGTGCCTCCAATGAGGTTTCAATTTCAACTTCCTCCCTCACTACCATTGGCTCTTACTCATATGGTACTTCCTGAAATTTTTCAGTCTCAGTCATTTTTCTGTGGTACAGTGACTCTGTGTATTCCCTTCATATTATTTTGATACTTCCTGGATTATTCAACATATTGTCCATAGCACCCATCATTATTGCAACTTGAGGCTTAAATTTGTTTTTCAGTTCTCTCAGCTTGAGAAATGCAGAGCGAGTTCTTCCCTTTTTATTCTCCAATTCCAGCTCTCTGCACACTCTCAGCACACCAACCCATAGATGACCCTCCAGAGGGTTTTCAGAGGCAACTTAATCGCATGAGAGGAGATTGCCCATCCTTCTCCCACGGAACGGCTGGTGGATTTGAACTAGAGGGCACATAATAACAATAGTAGCTATCAATGCGGTCTTCGTGTCTGAGTCGGTAGACATTTCTGTGCCTCAGTTTTCTCCTTAACATAACAATGGATGTGTGAGTGTGGTTGTGGGTTGGGAAACAACAATCTCTGTGAGTCCCTTTTGGCTTTGGGTGGACACAAAGGCCAAGAAGAAAGTATAGCTGGTTAACAGAAGCCACCCAGGGATGTAGTGCCCTGTCACACCACTAGGAGGCTACCGCGTATAACAGATGAGAAGGTAAGCTGCTTCAGGAGCCAGGGCTTAGTTAGATACTCCCTGTCAGTCTTTGCAGGACATGAGGATAGAAGACCTTGTGGGCCTGTCTCCCCTAGGCTGGGATTCCTTTTCTGGTTTTACAGATCTCAAAGATGGGAGAGGATAGTTATTATGATAGCCCTCTGTCTTTAGTAGGTCATGTAAGTGAGATGAAAGCAATGTCCTCCACCAACATCCTGCTAGTAGTCCTTGCTGAACTTCATTCTGAACTTTTACTCCACACCTCTCCCCTTCTGCCCCAGCATGTAAAGTAGAGAGAATAAGGTCTGGACAGTGGCAAAAGAAAAGTCAGCAGTTCCACGGGAATAAAGATCCAGCAACATGCTCTCAGAAAGATTACAGCCTAGAAAACACAAGGCACTTCCACTCTATCCTGTGAGTTTGGAATCTCGTTTACACACAATATGCAAATCTCTTTCTTGCTCAAATTCCTGGCTGGGTTACCTGGGAAATGGTAACAGCAACACCCCCTTTGCAAGGGCTATGTGAAGATTGTTGGAACCAAAGCCCTGAATCCAGGACAGTTTCCCATCTACCCCTGCTCTCCTAACCCCTCTCCTCTCTTGTCCCTTCCAGTTTTCCAGTTTATGTAGGAGGAACACCTTCATCTGCAGAAGCTAAACAACCAAGCCCATTTATTTATTGTCCAGCTGTCTCCAACTTAGGATGACCCTGTGTTACAGAATAGTACTGCTCCCTCGAGCTCTCTTGGCTGCGATTTATATAGGAGCAGACCAAGCCTTTCTTCCATGGCACTGCAGGGTAAGTTACAAACACCTTGGTAGTCTGGCCCAAACAGTTGGCACTGGCAGCACCTCTCCCAAAACTAGGGAGACCTCAGAACTAAGGGAGTCATATTTTCAACACCTCCTTCCCCTAAATCAGCATTTCTCTAAGTGACTTTCTCCAAGGATCCTCAGCAGAAGGAGTATTAAGAATATAGATTCCAGTGCGCCCAGAGCTGCTGAATCAGGAACCGGAGGCAGGCCTTGGAATGGGTCTGGCTGGAAGACTGCTGGCCCAGATTGCTCTCCATTCCCTCCTCCTGACCTGCCAGGGGAGAAGTGCTCCCATCAACACTTTCTCTGGGGGCTGCTTTTTAGTGACTCGCCTCCCCTATACTTTCTGCAACAGGGGACTCTAAATATCTTGGTTTCTCCCTCCAGCCCGGGGTGGGGGGGGGCATCCTAGTGAGGGGACAATCCCCAGTTCCACAGTGGGTGTCTGCTTAGTGCAGTCTGGAGAACCAAACTGTCAACACAGTACAGGGGGCGCTGCGTCAGGACGTTTGTTTACAAGCTTTTGTTATTAAGGAAATTGCTGTCAGTCAAGGTAATTCTAGCCCAGATGAGCAATAAATATGCCCCTGGCTAATCTTTCGGGGATTTTATTGGCACCTCAGGGGCAGAGGTTCGTTTATCCCGCCCACCCCTCCTCTCAAAGCGAAACTCTGCTCCTTGGATATTTTCCCACAGCTACCCGAGATACTTGGGTCAGATTTACGAAAGCACACGGAGGTTGAAGACAGAATATGTTGGGGCAAAGATCGAGAGCGGACCCAAGTCCTACCTGGAGGAGAGGGAATGGGGGTGGAGGACATGACCAAATGACCCAAAATAAATCCCGGGCTGCCTGCTAACAACATGGCCTTTGCGAGCTCTCCTGGGCCAGCTCCGCGCTCAGGGGTGGTCACCTGGCCCCCGGGCGCCTCAGCTCAGGGAGACGGTGTCCCGGGCCAGGCAGAATTATCTGGGAGAGGGAACTGGCTGGCGGGAGTCGGTTCCAGCGTGTTGGGAGTTACAGCTGCGAGCCCTCAGGGGCGCCGGCGGCAAGTCCCAGCTTGCAGAGAAGGAAGCCAGCCCAGGAGAGCGCGAGTCGGGGCGAGCCTGGGTGCGCGCCCGCGCGCGCGCCTCGCCACGGCGCGGGGGGAGGGGAGCCGCTGCAGCCACTCAGAGGCTCGGCAGTGAAACCTCCGAACACTTTAACTGTCAATCAGACTTAACGGGGTATTAAAAAAAAAAAAAATGAGGGAAAGAAAAGGGCCGTGCTCTCGCTGCGCGCCGCGGCTGCCGGGGGAAGCGAATGAATAAGGCGGCGCGGACTGGGGCGTCCAGTCCTCGCGCGCTCCGCACCCGGGCCTTCTCCAAGTTGGAAAGGAGAAAAAGAAGGCAATAGACGCTAAAAAGAGAGAGAGGGAGCCCGGCTGTGCGGCAACTCCCAGGCTCTGCTGGAGGAGAGAGAGAGGGAGGGAACCGGCGCGAGCGAGCGCGCGCGAGGGCGAGCCAAGCACGGAGAGAAACTGACACCCGGACCCCCCACTTCTCCTGCACGTTGCTGGCAATCAGAGCGCGTTTAAGCAATTTCCTGAGCCCAAGAATAGCAATGAGTCCAGAGACTTTTGCAGGCTGAATTGGGGAGCTCCAAACACTTTCCCCCCACTTTTTTTTCCCCCCTGGCAAAGGGGAGGGCAGGAGAAGCTACAATTTGGAAACGATTTTTTTTTTTTTTAAATGATCTTGCACTTTGAAACCGCAGGACTGTAGCAGGCTCCGCGCGTGTGGTTGGTGCCTTTTTTTTTTTTTTTTTTTTTTTTCCTTCCCCTGCCTAAACTCCTCTGTCAGCCTGTAAACATTACCTGAGAATTCCCCAGCCGAAACGGCTGCTGGGGCAAGAAACTTCTTGTTAGAACTTTCCACCTTCGACTTCCCCTCCACCCTTGTTGGCGTCCCAACCTTTGGAGAGGCTTATTCTCCTGCAGGGGCGGATTTTTTTTTTTTTTTCTTTTTCCCCCTCACCCAGTACTTTGCACCTGGGAAGAATTTATTTCACCGGTAGCCAGGTGGGACGCCCGCCCTCCTTGATTCGGTTTATTTATATTACTCTTTAGGATTTCTTTTATAATCCCGATTTTGTTTGGTCAGGGGGTTTTCGCCCCCTAGCCGGCTCCGCGGCGCGGAGGATGGTGTGGAGATGGCTGGGTGCGTTGGTGGTGTTCCCTCTGCAGATGATCTATCTGGTGGTAAAAGCCGCCGTTGGACTGGTGCTGCCCGCCAAGCTGCGGGACTTGTCTCGGGAGAACGTCCTCATCACGGGCGGCGGGAGAGGCATCGGGCGCCAGCTCGCCCGCGAGTTCGCAGAGCGCGGCGCGAGAAAGGTACGGCCACCGCGTCTCGTGGAATGGGAGCTGAGGGGGAGGAGGGCTGCCGAAGGGGGGATGTTGCACCCACCTGCTGCCGCTGCTGACTCGCGCGCCTGGAGCTGAAAGTTGCCCACCACCCTGTTCCCTTGCTCCACCCGCGAGTGCTGAGCTAGTCAGTTTCATCTTGTAAATTACCCTGCCATTAGACTGTCTCTTCTGGCTGGTTCGGAGCTTTGAGGATCTTTTAGGATCGGTGGCTAACTGACTTTTGCACCCCTATTCGGAGACTTAGAAGACCCACCCATTTCCTACGTCGCTCCCCCCGTGAGGAAGGTGTTATGTTTTCCCCTTAGTCTCCCCCCTTTGCCGACACCCTAGGAGTGCATGGAGTGTGTGTGCGCTCCTGGGTATGGCCGGGAGCCGCCTGCTAGCTGGCGCCTTGTATTTGCCTTGGCAACCTGCTTCCTGGCGCCCACCTGGGCGGCTGTAAATCCGAAGAGACCGTGAGAGGAGAGGCTTGGTTTGGGTTTGAAATGTGGGGAGTGGTCTTGGATCGTCTGGCCTGGCCGACGCTGTGAGGCGGAGGTGCTTGGAAATCTGGAAGGAGAGTGGGCTAGGGTAACCAGCGGCTGATAAAGAGCCCTTGTTCTCACCTTCAGCCCAGCCCCTTCCCCCAGTACAGCCATAGAGAGGATCCCAGCCCATTAAGTAGGGAGGAATCGTTTAACTTTTTGGTGGACCTACCAAGTTTCCCCCTAGTTTTCACCGACCTGGTGCCACAGAGGAGAGTGCGGAAGGCAAGTGGACTGTCACCCAACCAGGACTCTGGTTTGACTGACTCACCCAGTGACCAGAGCCATGGGAGAGGGATTTGAGGCTGTCTCCAGCCAACTCTGTAAAGGAGAAGAGCAAAACCAGAGAATTAGTTTGCAACAAACTGTTGTGAGCAGAGTAGGGGGGTGAAAGGGCCAGCAAAGCCAGCTGATCTGATGTGGAGCCACATACCTTGGGGATTAAGTAAATATGTACTGTAGAAAACCAAGCCTGCATGTAATTCCAGGTTGCTTTTGTTTTGTTAAATACTGCCCTGAGATTTACAATTCCTCCGGGGTAGCTCTGACTCGGGCTGAACTTTGGAGCCTGAACTATCAGCCAAAGCCGATTGCCCATTAACTCTTCCCTGGCTAGGCCAGTCGGGAGCCAAGTTAGCTGGGGTCCTTGACGCCCTGCTTCTCCTTGGGTGGTTTGGACAGCTGCTTGACCTTGTTTTCAGAAGGGGCGTTCGGAAGTGTTTTTAACCCTTGAGTGTACTGAATAAGGGGAAGTAAGAGTTTTCCTGGGCAGTTTCATTTCCTCAGAGCCATATGCCACATCAGCGTCTCCTGGAGCCCCTTGCAGAGAACCAGCAGCAAGGCGCTCCCTTGGGATGAGAGTGTGGCATTTATTAGTGCCCTGTGCATCCGGGTACATTGCATGTGATTGTCATTCCTTAGCTGTCTGCATCTCAGAGGAACTTTCTCTGACTCTTCCAGCTGGCCCGAACTCTGTGTCTCTTTTACTGCTCTCCTAACTGCAGTAGGCATACACAGACTCTTGTAGTCAATCTGGAAAAACTTGACTGACTATAAACAATCCTAAATTGAAAGAAGAACATGGCGCACTGGGAGAGGGTTAGAATAGTGCTGAGTGGAGCCTGCAGTTTCATGCATCCTCTACCAGGGAGGGGGAGACGTAGGGCCAATTAGAAATATGCCTGAAATTGATGTCCAGGTCACAGAAAACAGGATACATGGGGGCCTATGAAACTTTTAGTGCCATTCACTTTAATTCAGCTGTTGGACCAATGATGGCCAAGAGCACTCCCCGAGACTTGTAATTATCTGGCCAATTACTGGAGCTACTTTTTAATGAGCCTTCTGTTGCTGTCACGGTGGGGAATTTGGAAATTGTGGCTTATTGCCTGAGTCCATCTGGGGCCAGTGAAAGGGCCTTGGGACAATTCCCAGGCTCATGAGTGTTTGGGGGAGCTTAGGGCAAAGGGCCAAGTATTGTGAAGATGAAGACTTGACAAGACCTGACCAAGTGGGTTGGGACATGTGTGAACAGTGGGCTTAGGGGTAGGCCGGATCCATCTGCAGAGAGCCAGGGAGGGCTGGGCACCTCCCGCAACCTACAGTGAAAATAGACAGGCGGCGATGTTGAACCACAGATGGCTCTGCACCTGCTCCCCTTGGTGAAGTGGAGGCTGTATCTCAGAGCCTGTCCAGCCTGGGTTCTGGTGGGGTCGGATATACTAGACACATCCAGGAGGAGCCTGAAGATTTGGGGGGAGGGGGCGGGTTGAGGTTGGGGATGGCAACGAGTCCCCTTAGTGACCCAGGACATTGACCTTGAGTCAAAGAGGATTTGGCAATATTTGTGGGTGGTAGTGAGCCTTAGACTGTAAGGGTGACCTAAGTGAAGGGTTGTTTTGTTTTTCTCTTAAAGGGACCTAGAGGCTTCAGAAAGTATTTGATGAAAATTTCTAACTTCGAGATGCCTCTTTTCCCACAAAATCCCCAGTCACCCGAAAGATTACCTGTCTTTCAGTCATGGTTATACGGTCTCTAGGGGAAAGGTTCTGGATAGTCAGTTCCCTACTACAATCTCTTCTCTCCCCTCTCTGTACTGTCTTATAATTCCCCCCACAAAAGCGTTTACAAAGCTAAACTGTAGACCATTTCCTACCAGGTCTTCTGGCTAATTGGCCTAGTTCCGAGTTTAAATTTGACATCATGTTCGCAGGAGCCCCTGGGAGGAAATGGGAACTGTTTGGGGAACTGTCGACATACATCATTTCATTGCACTTATCTTTAGTGCACTCTGAGATAATAGAGGTGGGTTTTTTGTTTTTCTTTTTGTTTTTAAATAATTGAAGGCTTGTGACAATTCTGTGTTAACCAAGTCTGCCTCTTCCCTTTTTCCTAATAGTATTTGCTTACTTTGTGTCTGTGTCACATTTTGGTAATTGTCACACTATTTTCATGATGGTAGTGTATAGATAATAGATTATTAAAACAAACATACAAAGACCCCAAATCCACTGCCACCACTGAGTCAATATTGACTCATCATGCATGACTCTATAGGGCAAAATAGAACTGTCCCATACATAAGGTTTCCAAGGCTGAAAATCAGTATGGAAGCAGATTGCCTTATCTTTCTATCTTGGAGTGGCTGTTAGGTTTAAACTACTGACCTTTTGATTAGCCAAATTCATAATGTTTATATATATATTGTTGTTGTAAAATCTCTAAGAGTGAGAACCAACTCATAATTGACCCTTCCGCCTGCTTTCAGAGGCTACAAACTGCACAGGAGGAGATAGCCCACATTGTCTTGCTAGGGCTGCTGGTTAGATTTGAACTGCCCATCTATGAGTTGGCACCTTACTCAGAAGGCCACCAGAGCTCCCTTATCTGCACTGAAAAAGCAAAACTATTCATGTAACTGGCTGTGCTGAGACAGTTTTAAACCAAATCACAGAAAGAAGCAAGGATGTGCACCCCTATGTTTATTGTGGCTTTGTTCACATTAGCAAAGAGTTGGAAACAGCCTACGTGCCCATCAACAAACAAATGGATAGAGAAGCTCCAATATATTCACACAATGGAATACTATGCCGCATTGAAAAACAAAGAACTTGTGAAATATTTTACAAAATCAATCACCCTGGAGGACATTATGCTGAGTGAAAGATCTCAGTCACAATAGGACAAATATTGCATAATGCCACTGTTGTAAAACGGAACTGATATCAGGATTGGGGGGAGACTGAGAAAGATAGGATAAATTATGCATACTGCACTGAAACAGATGAGGGAGAGAACTGTTTAAAAGCGATGTATGATTAGACAGGAATGAAGGCTGGGGGGGTATGAAGTGAATGGAGTGGATGGGGTGTATTGTATAACAAGGAAAGAATTTTTCTTTTACTTTTCAAAGAAGAGAGTGAATTGGGGGGAGGAGTGGGCAGGGATAAATGGGCAAGAATGATTGAATGAATGGAAATCCAAAGTCTGTAAACGTTCATTAAAATTAATACTAAAAAGTAAATTAAATAGAAAAAGAAAAAAGCAAGGATGGTGAGGGTTGGTCTCATATACTAACCAGAAGGGGCCTGATCCCTGGAGAAGGATACGTAGTTAGCACTTGTTACCAGAAGGGGCCAGTACCTTGAGAAGGCCATAATCTTTGGAAAAAGACAAGATCAGTGAAAGAGAGGAAAACCTTCAATAAGATAGAGTGACACAGTTGGTAGCCTAGTGGCAAGAAGCAGTGCCACAATCCCGAAGGTGTGCGGTTCAAATCCAGTGGATGCTCCACTGGAGAAGGTGGGGCAATATCCTCCTGTGTCTATCAGATCTGACTAAATGGTACATAACAAGAGGGGGGGGGGGGAGATACATTGACACAGTGACTGCAAGTGGGTTTAAGCCCAGCAGAGATTGTGAGGATGGTACAGGTTCAGGCAAGATTTTAGTCTATCAGACATGAGCCAGCTCCAACTCAACAACACCCATCAGTAACAACATACCAAACCCAAAATGCCTCCAAGGGAGATGCCTGTATCTTCTGTGATGGTTCTAGTTCTTGTCCAGGCTTGGTCAAATGGCTGCATATTTTGTTGTTGTTGCTGTTGTTGTTATTGTTGTTAGGTGCCACTGAGTCAGAACAGACACACAGCTGACCCCTCAAGGGGTTTTTGGAGGCTGTAAATCACACAGGAGAATGCCCAGCTTCCTCCTGCGGAGCCTCTGATGGACTCAGACTACCACCAGCCACCACTTTTGTGTTAACAGCACAATGCCATATGCACTACACTGTCAGAACTCCTTGTGCTAAAATACTGGGTCATAATTGCAGACTTATGATAGCATAAGTGGACCCAACCCCTGTGTCTGTGCAGAAGTAGAGCTAGGATGCAGGGAAATATTTCCTAGGCATGATATGAGAACTTGCTTGATCTTCCTTGC